TTTGTTTTGTAGTACTGGGGATTGAACTTGGGACCTTGAGTTTACCAGGCAGGTGCTTATGCTGGTGAGCTATATCCCCTGTATACATTTTCCATTAATTCCTGCTTCTACTATTAGCCCTAAGCAACCACTGATTGTGTGTGTATGCGTGTGTGTGTGTGTGTGTGTGTGTATTTAAATGTATCTGGTATAGGGTCTCACTATGCAGCTTGGACTTGTACTGATTCTCCTTTTTCAGCCTTCCCAGCTGGCTGGGATTACAGGCATGCTCTACCACACCTGGTCTCTGGTGGCTGGCTCTGTGAACCTGGGGGAGGGCCAGCGTGGCATGTGGTGCCAGGAATCGAACCCTGGTCCCTGCGCTTTCCTAAGCAGGCACTTAGTCCTCTGAGTTCTCTCGCCAGCCCCAATTCTTTTTCTGTCATATTTGGACATTTTATATAAATGGGATTATCTATTCTTGTGTCTTTTTTTTTTTTTTTTAATTTTATTTATTTGTGTGTGTGTGTGTGTGTCTGTGTGGCCAGCTCAGTCCACCAGGGGGCGGGGTTGTCTGGCATGTGGTGCTGGGGGATTGAACCGTGGTCCCTGTGCTTTGCTAAGCTTGTTTTTTTTTTTTCAGTAGGTGCTTTAGACCACTGAGCCATCTCACTAGCCCCCAGTATTCTTGTGTTTTTTGATTTGCAAGTATTTGAAGTGCATCCATGTTGTTGAACAATATTCTATTGTATGAATATTCTGCTTTTTTTAATCCATGGAGCCAGGGAGATGGCTCAGTGGAATAAGCGCTTCCCTGGCAAGTGCAAGGGCCTGAGTTCAATCCCTGGTTCCACCCCCCCCCAAAAAAAAAAAAAAAAAAAAAAAGAATAAAAAAAAATGTTTATCCATTTACCAATTAATAGATTTCTGGATTGTATCTAATTTTTGCTTTTATGAATAATGTTGCTTCTGTACATTTACAGACATCTGTGTATGAACCTAAATTTTCATCTCTAGGAAATTGCTGGATTGAATGGTAAATTATTCTTCACTTTTTAAAGCGTAATCAGTATGCTTTACAATGTGATAGTACCCTTTTACATTTTACCAGTGATGTACAGTGTTTCAAGTTCTCCACATTTTTACCAGCTCCTGGTGTTGCCAATTTATTCTAGTAGGTGTATAGCATATTTTTATGCACATAGAAGCCATTTGTTTTCTTTAGCAAAATAGTCACATCATTGCCTGCTTTTCAGATGGGACTGTCTTGTTGATTTGTAGGGAGTTTTTTCTTTCAAATGTTACCTTCATATTTATTAAATGACCATGTGATGTAAAGAATAGCAGCAATGCTTACTGCTACTTTCTTCCCATATTTTTTTTGTTGCATATTGGTTATACAGATTACTAGGCTTTTCATTTTGGTAGATGTGTACATGAATGTTATACTTCACATTATTATTTTCCATCACTCCCTTTTTCCTGGGTTTATTTTGCAGAATTTCAATGTCTTAATTTTGATGATAATTATCATCCCTTTGTTTGTTTGTATCATGGTTATAGTCCTCTATCAGGTATGTGGTTTGTAACTATTTTTCCTAGTGTATCCCTGCTCCCCCATTTCCCTTCTAAAGAAGTTTATTAAGCAGAAATTTAGAAGTGCAAGTTTTTAATTTTGAGGAAATTATTGTGTGAATTACGAATTTGATGTCATATCTAAGAGCACTTGGCCATGTCTGAAACAATGAAAATTTGCGAGATTTACTTCTGACATTGACTCTTGTGATTGTATTTTTTAGTTAATTCATGTATATGTTGTAAAGAAAGGGTCTGAATTTGTGAAAAATATTGTTAAAAAGCACTTGGATGTTAAATTGTCTCACATAGTATACTTTGGGCCAGAGAGAGAGAGAGAGAGACAGACAGACAGACAGAGACAGACACGCACACACACACAAATTGTCTCACATAGTATACCTCTACTTTGGGCCAGAGACACACACCCACCCACCCACCCGATGGCACAGTGCGTGCCTGACAAGCACAAGGTCTTCTCTGAGTTCAATTCCTAGTACCAAAAATATAAATATAAATACACACACACACTTCACCTTTAGCCAATAAATTCTCTGGGCACCTTTGTCTCAAAAACCAGTTATAGTCATAAATGTGGGAATTGGTTTCTGGACTCTCTGTTCTGTCCTCTGATTCTGTATGCCTGCTTGTTTGTAGTTATTACACTGTCTTGATTAATTGTGACTTTATTAAAAATCCTTCACCTTTATTTTTCAAAATTGGTGTCTTAGATCCTGCAAGAGTCCATGTGAATTTTATAGTCAGCCTGTTGGTAGTCTTAAAAAAAAAAAAGGCTACATGGGAGCTCATTGATTTTACAGATTGACTTGGGAAAAATGCCATCATGATAACACTGAGTCTTCTAATCCAAGAGCATCATATGTACCTTCAGATACTCTTTCATCAGTGTTTATTAGTTGTGAATATAGAAATCTTGTACTCTTGACTTTTCTGTGTTTAAAATACATTGTTGATGCTATTATGACTAGGTTTTCTAAAAGTTAATTTCTGAGTGTGGATTGCTAATATATAGAAATCTAAAATTAATAAATAATAAATTTGTGCTATGTCTGTGCTACACTCTTTATTGGTTCTGGTAGTTTTGTGTGTGAATTTCTTGGAGTTTTTCTATATATAGGAGTCATAATCTGTTACTTAACATAGTTTTATGTCTTTCTTTTCAGTCTGAATGCGGGTTCTTTATTGAACCTTAACCAAAAATCTCAATTGCTACTTTGAATAGAAGTGGCTAAAAGTGTATGCTTTCCTTGTTCTTGATGTTCAGTATTTTATCTTTTAAATATGATGTTAGCTGTATATCCTAGTTTAATTTTCTTTTTAATATGAATGAAGGCTCAGGTACATGCCTGTAATCCCAGCACTTTGGAGGCAGAGGCAGGAGGATTGCTGTTGAGTTCGAGGCCCGTGTGGGCTAAGTAAAGCTAGTTCCAGGTCAGCCTACATTACAGAGTGAGACCCTGATTCACAGAAACAAAAAGAATGCATGATATGTTCCTGGATTCTGCTTACTGTTACAGATTTTTGTTTGTGTCTTCATGGGGAGCTTTGGTCTCCCTCCCCACCCCCACCCCGTGTGTGGTGGGGGTGTGTTATCAGACCTTAAACAATGGTATTTATTTGGTACAGGGTCTTGCTACGCAGCTGGGACTCATAATAGTCCTCCTGTCACAGTCTCCCAGTGCTGAGATTAATAGGCATGTGCCCCCATGCCCTGTTTTGGTTGCTGGCATGACGGCAGCATAGCATGTGGTACCAGGGATCAAGCCTGGGTCTTTGTGCTTGCCAGGCACATCGTAGACTATTGCCGAGCTATCTCCCCAGGCCCCAGTTTTTTTTTAAAGTGGATTCTCTAAATTGTCCAGCCTAGACTTAAATTTTTTATTTTCTTGCTTAAGCTTCTCACAGTGTGTTTGGATTATAGGTTTGTATTACTACAACTGGTTTTTCTTTATTTGCATTTATCCCTAGTTTGAGTTTAGTTTGTTCTTTTCCTCTTATAACTACAAATGTAAGGTTATTGAAATGAGACTTCATTTTCTGATACAGAGTTTAAGACACACAAGTCTTCCTATGTTGCCCGGACTGGCCTTAACTCCTAAAGTCTGGTGATCCTTCACCTTCAGTTTCTCAGATATGGGGCTACACTTGCATGCTATCATACTAGCTCAATACAGGTCTTTGAAGCTAACATTTCTCCTTAAAACAGTGTTAGCGGAATTCCCACAATTTTGTTATGTTTTCATTTTTACTAAGAAAATGTTTTCTAATTTTCCTTGTGATGTATTACTTATGAATTACTATAAGTTCCTTTAATGGGAAATTTTCCTGATTCCTTTTTCTTGAATTCCAGTTTTTGTGTGGTCCAGGCATTGTTTGATTTATGAGAAAAGAGATACAGAAATGGTGATTGGATTTAGTTGCTTTCCTTTTACTGGCTTGTACTCATAGATCATGTATAATTTGGGAGTTGTCTCAAATTGAGGGGCAACGTTCACTGTTAAACTACTTTGCCATACTTTTTTTTAATGAACTGATTATTTTGAATTATGTCCTAAGAATTGGAGTCTAGAGTTATGTAATTTTCCTATAATTCATTCTAAAAAAAAGAAAAAATATTTCTCCATTTTGTTTTTTTGCTTTTTTTGTGGGGGGCAGCATATGTTACTGGGAATTGAACTCAGGATCTTGAGCTTGCCAGGCAGGCTGCTGAACTGTTTGCTGCTGCTGCTGCTGCTGCTGCTGCTGCTTCTTCTTCTTCTTCTTCTTCTTCTTCTTCTTCTTCTTCTTCTTCTTCTTCTTCTTCTTTTTTCAAAATTTTATTGATAAACAGCAATGAGACAGTTTCAAATCAAATTGGAAGTACAGTTTCAACAAATAACACACTGCATATATTCTTGTTAGTGGTTAATTGCTGTACAAGATGCTGCTGCTTCTTCTTCCTCCTCCTTTTTTTTTTTGCAGAACCGGGGATTGAACTCAGACACTTGCGCTTGCCAGGCAAGCGCTTATTCTGTTGAGCCATCTCCGTGGCCCCCTTTTTTGCTAAAGTGCCCATAGTAGCACTTGACTTTGTAATCCTCCTGCCTCAGCCTTTTAGAATGTTGGGGATTATAGCCAGGTCCCACCATGCCTGGCTAACTTCAGTAGCCTTTGGAGAGAAGAATATGACAAAGGGAACTAGGACTAGATCTTATTGTTTGGAGGAAAGGCACAGAATCAAGGAATATTCTGATTTGATATTAAGCAATGAGGAATATGGCATGGAAACGAAGTGAACCATTAGTACTTTTTCATTTCTTGTAAGATACATTTTTTGTTGTCTTATGAATTAAACTCTTATAAATTTTAATAGATTAATATCTTAATTCTTATACAAGAACTATACATTTATTTCACAAAATTTTTGCTTTCTTCCTTCCCTTTAGGACATTTGCTGCAAGATCCTATTGCACCTACCAACTCCACCTGCCAACACTATGTCTGCAAAACGTGTAAAGGCAAGAAAATGATGATGAAACCTTCATGTAGCTGGTGCAAAGACTATGAACAGTTTGAGGAAAACAAGCAGTTAAGCATTCTAGTGAATTGCTACAAAAAGCTATGTGAATATATAACACAGACTACACTTGCACGGGATATAATAGAAGCAGTCGACTGTTCTTCGGATATTTTGGCTTTGCTTAATGATGGGTCATTGTTTTGTGAGGAGACAGAAAAACCCTCCGATTCATCCTTTACTTTGTGTTTGACACATTCCCCTTTACCTTCAACTTCAGAACCTACAACTGATCCTCAAGCTAGTTTATCTCCAATGTCTGAAAGTACCCTAAGCATTGCTATTGGCAGTTCTGTTATCAATGGTTTACCTACTTATAATGGGCTTTCAATAGATAGATTTGGTATAAATATTCCTTCACCTGAACATTCAAATACGATTGATGTTTGTAATACTGTTGACATAAAAACTGAGGATCTATCTGATAGCCTGCCACCTGTCTGCGACACAGTAGCCTCTGACTTGTGCTCCACTGGCATTGATATCTGCAGTTTCAGTGAAGATATAAAACCTGGTGACTCTCTGTTACTGAGTGTTGAAGAAGTACTCCGCAGCTTAGAAACTGTTTCAAATACAGAAGTTTGTTGTCCTAATTTGCAGCCAAACTTGGAAGCTACTGTATCCAATGGGCCTTTTTTGCAGCTTTCTTCCCAGTCTCTTAGCCATAATGTCTTTATGTCTGCTAGCCCAGCACTTCATGGTTTGTCATGTACAGCAGCAACTCCGAAGGCAGCAAAATTGAATAGAAAACGGTCCAGATCAGAAAGCGACAGTGAGAAAGTTCAGCCACTTCCAATCTCTACCATAATCCGAGGCCCAACATTAGGGGCCTCTGCTCCTGTGACAGTGAAACGTGAGAGCAAAATTTCTCTTCAACCAATAGCAACTGTTCCCAATGGAGGCACAACACCCAAAATCAGCAAAACTGTACTTTTGTCTACTAAAAGCATGAAAAAGAGTCATGAACATGGATCTAAGAAATCTCATTCTAAAACCAAACCAGGTATTCTAAAAAAAGACAAAGCAGTAAAGGAAAAGATTCCTACTCATCATTTTATGCCAGGAAGTCCTACCAAGACTGTGTACAAAAAGCCCCAGGAAAAGAAAGGGTGTAAATGTGGACGTGCTACTCAAAATCCAAGTGTTCTTACATGCCGTGGCCAACGCTGCCCTTGCTACTCTAACCGCAAAGCCTGCTTAGATTGTATATGTCGTGGCTGCCAAAACTCCTATATGGCCAATGGGGAGAAGAAGCTGGAGGCATTTGCTGTGCCAGAAAAGGCCTTGGAGCAGACCAGGCTCACTTTGGGCATTAATGTAACTAGCATTGCTGTGCGGAATGCTAGTACCAGCACCAGTGTAATTAATGTCACAGGGTCCCCAGTAACGACGTTTTTAGCTGCCAGTACTCATGATGATAAAAGTTTGGATGAAGCTATAGACATGAGATTCGACTGTTAAATCAGTGGGTCTTTAAACCTACCTCTGGTAGGGAAATAGCTAGTTTTACGGCAGCTATGGTTCTGTTGGTTTAACTTGCCGGAGCTCCTGCATATAGGTCACTTGTATCAAGTGTTTTCATTGCTAAGTTATATGTGTTAGTGTCGGGGAAATAGTTTGCAGATAATGGAGGAGTAACCCTACAACTGTATGTCCTTAGTTCTTACAGAACCTCATAGTTTGAGAACAAATGCTGATGCAACTGATTTATACAAAATGAACTTTGGCAAGGAAAATAATACATTAACCTCATTGTTTATGGTCATGCTTTGTGCATAATCAAAGTTTATGATTAAATGTAAGGAAGTGGTATGTAGTCCATAAAGATTGTGCTAATTTTTTGTGGCAGAGTAGCTATTAGTTTATTCAGGAGGTTAATTTAAGGTTGCTTTCAGATGCAACATTGACTCCTGTTGAAAAGCTGATGTATCCAGCTCAATCTTTGTGCTGACACAGTACCATTTCTGATCATGAAAATTGGCTACTGGTGTATGTAGCAGTTCTTAAATCAGCAGTATTATGAAAGAAAAATTGCCTCTCGTTAGAATGTTTAAGAAATCGGTCCTTTTAAAAAAAAGTGAACAAACTGAAATTTGTCAGACTGCAAAATTTAGTTGTCTATGCTACAAAACTCTTTTATGAGAAAGAGTTGAGCTCCCTTCTTAGTTTAGTCTGACTCATTTCTGGGGAAAAATTATAAATCTTTCACTTGGAGCAATGTTGTAATTGGATAAATGAACAGTTTTAACTGAATCTAGACTAGTATGTGACACAGTTTTTAAAATTAGATTTTATTTAGAAATTGGGATTTAAAATAATTTGAGAATAAAGCCCCACAACCAGATTTATATATATTTATCGTCATTGGCTCATCAATCTTCATTTTTTGTTTGCCACCTACTTTATTTTGAATATGCTCCTATTTTTTTTTTTTAAGGGTGCTATTCATTATGAAGACTTCTTTATTGAGGTCTAATAAAAATTTCTTTTATGAAGCCTTTGCATTTAGGTAGGTTTGAAGTTAGGGGGATTTTCTTTAGAATGCTCTTCTGCATGTAAAGCACAAACTGTGTTTCAGTTTAAATGTATTTCTTTCCTTTTTAGTTTTTATGGGGAAGACAAACATTCTGTTGAAGGGAAATCTAGTCAGTTGCTTGAAAGCACAGACCCAAGTAAAACAAGGACTGACTAGGTGTAAAGAAACAACCTTATGATTTAAAAGAAGTTGCTTTGACAGTGCTTAAAGAAACATACTGCTGGAAAAGTTCCAATTTCTACTACGTTCACCATCTCTACTAAGATCTGATGCGTTGAAGTAATGTTTTGATTTGGCACACAGCATGTTCAATGATGGTTACTCACTTATTAATACAAGACATCAAGAAGCAACCTGAAACCTTTGGACACAGAGCAGATGACACCTCCTTCTGTTTTGTAGTGTACCTTGGTGTCATTTTCTGTGAATGTGGTCAGGTAGAGTTGTTTTTGTTGTTGTTGGGCCTTTTTTTTTTTTTTTTTTTTTTTGGTCTCTTGGTGGGGTGGGGGTGGGCTAAAGCCATAGGAAGAAAAATGTGATGTATGTGTCCAGTATGTACTATTTTGTTTTTGTTTTGCAAGAAGAGTTGAACTATTTTTGATAACAAGAGTAAATGGTGGAAAATGCTTCTTAGTTGTCTTGTCTTTATTTGCTTTCCAAGTTTTGGCATTTTATTTAATTCCTTTAAGTGTTAGTAGTGTCTTATAAACATGTATTGACCTAAAACTTGTAATAGTTTTGTGTTGAACCGAGATGCCCTGCTATATACTTGTAAATCTGTTCTTTATTCACTAATGATTACTGCAAAGATGACTAGAAATGAGATTGTACACATGGATGATTGATATATTTTGCAAATCTCCTAAACTTTCCTAATATGATCTTAAAATTCATGGAGTACTTTATTGCTTCCCAAGTTTGATAATCTTGGTTTTGTGTTTTTTGATGCATGGGAGGTTGGCAATATAGACAAAAGTGAAAATCATTATTAGTATGTGAGGACCTTGATTGTTATGTAATATTGCCAATGATGAATTCAGGTTGTTTTTAGCACAAGTTTCTCTTTTTTATGCTGGTATTCTCACTGCCACATTTTTGAAAACCTGTATTACACCTTAAAATCTATCAATAAATGATAGTTTTCTAATTCTATGTTGTAGAATGCTGAGGATAGCATGCTTTGAATGGTCTGTATTGATTTGGGGGAAGAATAATTACAGTGCCTTTGTATGTATGTATGTATGTGCTTATTTTAAACACCTTTAGGAATTCTGACTTAGGAAATTACTGAAGTAACTGGATTTACTTCATCAGGATACAAAACTGCTAAAACAAGAATATTTAATATGAAATTTTTCAGGGTCTTGATTGTTACTAATATAAACAATCAAATCATCTTTTAGGTAGTTTTTTTAGTTGGCATTTATCTTTTTGATTAGCCCCGTGAAGTATACATTTATGAGTGCTTTTTTATTTCATTGTCTTACTAGTGTTCCTGAAATAATTCTTTGGCAACCTTGTTGAAAAGTTTTATAACAAAATTTTGTCCTGTCCCATAAATAATATTTCCTAAAGTATATAATGTGCTAAGTTCAAAGTCCATTGTCTGGATCTAATACTTAGAAGGTCTATATTTTTCCTTCTTAAAAAAACTAAAACTTTACCCAGGAATGTGCAATTGTATGAGATACATTATAGATAAGGTTAATGTCCATTTTGGTCCCTGTAAACTCTGTACTTCCAAATCTTGATTCTTTTTCCTATCACAATGTTTCCAAGGGCTGAAAAAGTTACTCTTAGAAACTCAAAAGTTTCTTCATGGTGTTACTCATTCAGATAGTGGTGGGATTATCTTAGTGAACGTGATTCATATTTGAGAAATTTTATTTAGTTTTGCAAAAAGAAAAAACAATTTTTTAAGTCATGCAGCCTTGCCCACTCAAACACATCTTAACATTTCTAAAAACTGAGCAATGACTTATTTTTTAACTCTAAAGTTCTATATAAACAACTTGACAATACAGTGACAGGTAAGATGCAGGGCAAATATACAGTTTTATTAGTTCAGTTACCTTTGCAATTAAAGTTATGCTGTGAAACTCATTTTTAATTAAATAGCATTAAGATCATGGTAATTCTTTCCTTTATCAAGGAATCTGTGATGTTACAACAATTTGAAATTTCCAGTTTGGCAGTAACACTTAAATTTACTATTATTTATTTAGCATTATCAAAAAGTAGAGCATACTATCCTAGGTCCTCAGAATTCACATTTCTTATATTCAGCCCTAAGAAGGGAATACAGTGAATCACATGCTATGTCTGTTAAAAATGTAATTTTAGGCAACCCAAATTATCCAAAAGAGATGGTACTGATAGCTTCACTTTTTATAAAGAAAAAACAAAACAAAGAAGCCAAATAATAACAAATACAATGTAAAAGTGATTTGTATTTTTACTCTTTGGTGAGCCTCAAAGAATTGTAGATAATAAAACCTTTAAACCTTATCTGTTTTCTTAAAAGTTTAACCTTTTGCATTTTTATCTGAATAATTTTTAAAAGTTACTTTCCCTGTTGTAAAGGTTCAATAGCATTGGTGGTAAATTTCTTGTATCACAAATTTGTAATGTTTAATCATAAAGGTACACTAACGAAGCTAGGAGATCTTGTGAAAAGCAGGATGGCTACAATTGGTAACTCTTGTGCATTTCTTTAATTTTCTCCACTTTTTGCTTACTGTTGCCCAGTGTTTGGTTATTTTGGTGCTAGGCTGTACACCAGCAAGGAAGTGAAACTGTTGACACTTAAACTGCTTTGGAGGAATTTTTTTTTAAACTTATATCAAGAAGTATCCATCCTTTTAAGTAGTTTCTCTCATTCCATCCCCTGCCCCAAGCTATACACTGTGGACTGTTGAAAAGATGCAGGATTCTGAAATGAACTCATAATACCTCTGTAGTAAGAAAGAACTTGCTTTCATGGGTACCATCACGATTTTCTTCCATTTCTGTGATAAATACTGAGGTGGATGAAATATCTGCCTTAATAATTTTCTTTCAACATTATAGAATATTTAGATGGAGGTTTTTATTGTTTACATTCAATGAAGAAAAGACTAGGAAGAATTACTATTAGGTCACTATTCCTTTTAAGTCTTTAGGCCTTCTGCTATAAAGATAGGGAGACAGATAATACAGAAGTTAATACATGATTAGTTTTGAGTGTTAAAAGATTTTTTTCAAGTATGAGTCAGATTTTTGTACTTGTCTTCATTTAAGTTTTTGTGATTTTATGTAAGACCCACAGTAAGAATGGGGAGGTTGCTATAGCTTGCCAGTGAAATTGGAAGGCCCAGTGGGAATAATACCTGAGGATGTAAAGTGACTAGCAGTTTGGCAGATCATTGTGAAATTACATTAAACCAGGTAAGTTCACTATCTTTGAACTGTAGTACACATAATTAAAGGAAGTCTCTGAGATGTTTGGCAGTGCTTTTATGACTAGGACTAAGTCAGTTTTGGAGACCTTGACTATGTTTTCAGGTTCCAGAATTTTGAGACTCAAGTTTTCTGCAAGTGAACATTTCTTCCAGGCTCCATAGGAGCCCTGAGAGCCTCAGGGATTTTGGCCAATACTGAGGCAACTTCTGCTTCTGTGCAGAGGATGAACTGCTTGACACTGTTCCCAAGGGACCCAAGGTACATTCAGGGGTATAGTGCTCATGTGCAGACTTTGTAAAGTGATGGTATGTTGTCATAGATGCTTGAAGGAAACGCTCTGCAAGAATTTGAGGCAAACTGGAGTCTTAAGTGTGTATTTAGACCCATTGCTTAAAAATATTTAAAAGTTCCTAGTACAGATACATACTTGGAGAGATCAACACCTTTAAAAAGTAGTATCCAAACTAGGGCATCTCTTCATAAGAAAGGTATTAAAATATATGTCTTCCATGTTGACCTTGGCAACTATTCTTCATCCACTGATTGAAGCTTTCCACATTGCTCTGAAATGCTTGAGGTTACTATTTTATTGCTTTTGTTTCCAAGTTCAGAGGGAGAGTTGGGTTCATCTATTTCATAATCCTCAAAGGAGCTGAAAAAGAACCAAGAGCAGGTGACTTTTTAAGTTTCAACAATCACAGTTGGGTAGAAGTTACTATGGCAAACCCAGAGACTGAAGAATGGCCTGCAGAAGTACCCTCGGTTGCTAATTGGCAATTATTAAATGAACTAACACTTTAGAGAATTATTTTCCCTGTTTCTCAAGTCCATGTCAGAAGTTGTTGAAAATAAGCTCTATCAAGCCTTTCATAGGGGGCTTGGTGGAAAAGAGCAAGACGATGTCAGGTTAGAGCATGGTGGAACTTCATTGTATTCTGTGCAGCGTGGGGAACCTTCTCAGTTCTCAAAATGCTGTATAGGTTTCCTGCCTGGCTTTCGATAGGCACCTTTATATGTGCAAGTTTGTACTGAGAGCATGCTAAAACCATCTTAATGGATTTCCCTTCATTCTGCTTTGTAGAACTTCACAGCATATCTAGATGTTCATCCTGGGGAACATTCCCTCTGCATGCACTCCTGTGGAGGTTACTGAATTTTGTGTCTTCCAGGCTACACTTAAATATGCTTTAGATAGACCTGAAACCTTGGTCTCTTGAAGGATGGCTGCCTAATGGACTCAGCACATTTTCTTCTCTTAGGAAGTATAGGGGCTTGAACCCAGGGTCTGCATCCCTGACAGTGCTCTCACTGCTGCTCTTTAATTTTTAATCAGGGTCTCAGACCCTGAATTGCCCAGGCTGAGTCTGAATTTATGATCCTCTGCCCAGCTTTCCCCGAGTGCTGGGATTATAGGATATGTTACCAATTCCTGGATTGAACTGATGTAATATTTTGAGGCTACATAAGAACCTAGGAACATACACATGGCCATTTACTAAAACAGTTATTTGCAACCACTTAACTGTTTGCAGAAAACTATAATAGATGTGCAGAAATTTCTAGACATAACCCTTAAAACAGTGCCAAGACTTAACTAGTAGAAGGAAAAATACACTCAAGTGGATATACCCTGTCTGAGTTACTTGTTCATATTTCTAGATAGGGTCTCAGGTTTCAGGTTGTCCTTAAACTTGTGGTCTTTCTTGTGTCAGCCTGAGTGCTGGGACTATATACGTGCATTTTCCATAGCCTAGTTTAACCCCCACCTCCTTTATATCAGCACTAGAGGTCAAGTGCAAGGCCTTGTCTCCACTAGGCAAAATCTACCACTGAGCTCTTTTTTTTTTTTTTTTTTTTTTTTTTTAGCCTGGCCTTGCTATGTTGCCCTTGCTGGTTTTCAGCTTCTGGGCTAAAGTGATTGTCCTGCCTCATCCCTCAAGCTACGACTACAAGCTTTATACCATCACACCTAGTTCTTAAAAGCATTTCTGATGTCTATTTATTCATTTATTTAATTTTATTTAATTTTTTGGTACCAGGGATTGAACTCAGGACCTTGAGTTTGCCAAGTGGGTGCTTACGCTGATCTTCTCCAGCCCTGAAGTCAGACTTAAAAAAGCCTAGCTGGTGTTTGGAAAATTGTTCCTTATCAATACCAGTTTATGATATCAAAAATTATTCACAACTTGATCATGTTGCAAAAATAATCCATTTTTAGTTACCAAACTTCCCCAGTCTCCTGATGCCTCAAAGCAGGTGGAATATGCTGGATAAAGAGGCAACAGGAGGGCAGGGAGACAGCTCAAAGGGCTGGCGAGATAGTAGACCAAGTGCCTGCTTTGGCAAGTGTAGGGACCAGGGTTTGATCCCTGGTCCTACATGCTGGGGACCAAGTCCAGGTGTGGTGATGCATGCCTGAAATCCCAGTGCTGGGGAGGCTGAAAACAGGAGGATTACTATGAGTCCAAGCTATGTAGTGAGACCCTGTACCAAATAAATTTAAAACAACAACAAAAACAGGTAACTGAATAGGAGTGAAGCTGAAGATGGCAGACTTAATTTTGAGGAATGAAATTCACAGAAGTTGGGCCAGGGAGATGGCTCAGTGGAATAAGCACTTCTCTGGCAAGTGCAAGGGCCTGAGTTCAATCCCCGGTTCCGCAAAAAAAAAAGTTAACTGTAGCAATATATTGTCAGACTGGGACTGTTTACTGTCAGAATGGAAGACATTTTCTAACTCTGGTGCGCTGACTTGCTGTTTGCAAGCCAGCAGTGTGTGTAAGTACTTTAGTGTACTTTAGGGGCTGTCGAGAGTGAGAATCATTCATTCAGTATTTGAATGCCTGCTGCTAAGCAGCCAAATGTTAGCAATAGAAATGGTCAAGACTGAAGCTTCCCTGTGAGCTTTGAGAGGAATGGGCTTTGGAATCCAGGTTCCAATCCAGGTTGAGGGCTTAATGTGACTTTGGGTATGTCACTTCACCCTACTACATCACTTTCCTCAACTCATGAGTTTGCCTCTTAGATTGAGATACAGATGAGGGCCTGATGACAAACTTTGCAAATGTTAGCCACTCTTTAGTAGTAGGGCTTACTGGAGCATGATCAGTGGCACCATCATCTTTTTTTTTTAAATCTTTGTGTGTGTGTGTGTGTATGTGTGTGTGTGTGTGTGTGGCCAGCTCAGCCCGCCTGGGGGTGGGGCTGGCTGGCATGTGGTGCTGGGGGATTGAACCGCGGTCCCTGTGCTTTGCTGAGCTTGTTCTAAGTAGGTGCTTTAGACCACTGAGCCATCTCACCAGCCCCGGCACCATCATCTTAATGAAAGAAATCCTATTATTCCCGGCCTGGGAGATAGCTTGGCAGTGCTTGCCTGGACCCAGTTTCAATCCCTGTTACTACATGCTGTGCCAGTCTTACACCGAGCCAGCCACTTAAACGGTGTGGTGGTGCATAGCTGTAATCTGAGCTCTAGGGAGGCTGAGAAAAATCTGAGCTGTGTAGCGAGACCCTGTACCAAACAAATCTTAAAAAACAACCCCTGTTATCTCAGATTTTTCTCCTCCCCTCCCCCACTGCTTTAAATCTAGCTGATCTCTTACACCTTCTTACAGTAATGCCCTACAGACTAAGCTCTGCTTCCTTCCTAGTACTGGCACTTAGTTCAGGGCACCATTCTTTTTTACTTGGATTGCTACGATCTTTTTTTTTTTTTTTTTTTTGTGGCACTGGGGATTGAACTCAGGCCCTTGCGCTTGCCAAGGAAGTGCTTATTCATTCCACTGAGCCATCTCCCTGGCCCTGCTACAATA